CGTGGGTGCGTGGGTGCGTGGGTGCGTGGGTGCGTGGGTGCGTGGGTGCGCGTGTCCGTGGGTGCGTGGGTGCGTGGGTGCGTGGGTGCGTGGGTGCTTGGGTGCGCGTGTCCGTGGGTGCGTGGGTGCGTGGGTGCGTGGGTGCTTGGGTGCGTGGATGCTTGGGTCTGTGTATAGGTGTGCGAGAGTATGAGATGTGGGTAAGTATATATTCAGACGATCTATCCAAAAAATAATCCAATACTACATAATCCGAAATATCCAAAACTAACTAACTGCGCTCCACGCCAATATTATATACCTATATTATATAAGGAGATTATGGGGAACAAGCCAGTTAGTGCTCAAGAATCAAGTAGAATCCTCACCATCCCGCATGGTTGATTTAGTTATTTTATCTTTTATAAGTACTGTATATAATAAATAAATACGTAAATAAATATAAATATAAATCAGTCAACACTAAGTACTAGGGTCCTCACGCACGCACGTACGCATTCACGCACGCACGCATGCACGCACGTACGCATGCACGCATGATCGCACAGGCGCATGGGCGTAAGTGTATTGGTTTGAATGTTTCCAACTTCCATGCACATAATTTTTATGTGACTGAAAAAGTTGCGGGAGAAATGAACTTTTATATAAAAAAAGCGAGGACTTTGCCATAATAACAGATTGTCTCATAACCACTTAACACTTTTTTTAGGGGTAGCACATCGCAGTGAATTTCGACCGTAACAAGCTTAGCAGACTGTAACATCAATAGCCCAACATAAATTATTTAACTTATAGCAACAACGCAAAATTTAAACATAAGAATGGAGACGCGGGCAGGGAAACGAAACGAAGTAATACCAAAATATAGATATAAATTCAGTATATATTCGCGAATAGTCTCCTTGTATGAAATGACAAACGGCGGACGCGTATACCATTTTATAGCTGATTAGAGTATTAGTGCTTGCTACCCGCTACCTTGCAGGATCAGCGGCCTTCTTTCATCGGTAACATTGGAATTAGCATTAGCATTACAGAGTGGCTCTCGAGTGATGCATCGATTATCGTTAAGTATAGTGCCCGCGTCAATAGATGAGGCTCGTATGTGGGACAGGCCTAACACGAGAAAACCTATACGCTGTCTAATCCAGCCGACCCAACCGCGATACACAGACTGTCTATATGATCCCGATAATTTTCTCATTTCCGTATGCGTTTCTTATATTCATCTACCTGTTCTTCCATCCGTCCATCCGTCAAACCATCCACTCCACGTCCATCCTTCGATTTGTCCGTCTGTCCGTTCGTCCATCCATCGATCTATCAATCTATCCATTCATCCGCCTGTCCGTTCGTTCGTCCGTCCGTTCGTCCGTTCGCCCGTCGGTCCATCCAGCCAGCCATCCATCTATCCATCCATCCATCCATCCATCCATACATCGATCTATCAATCTATCAATCTATCCACCGCCCGTCCGTTCGTCCGTCCTTCCATCCAGCATCCCTCCATCCATCCATCGATCTATCAATATATCAATCTATCCATCCATCCACCGTCCGTCCGTCCGTCCGTCTTATCCAGCCATCCATCCAAAATCCCATTTCCCCCCTTATCATCGATCTATCAATCTATTCAGATCCTATCGGCATTCCATCACCGTCGTCCGTCCGTTCGTCCTTCGTATCGTCCGCGATCATCCCAATCGCGCAGCCGCAGCAGCCGTGCCATCCATCCATCCATCCTCTATCCATCAGTCACCTCCGTCTATCATTTCATCCATCATGGCCATCCATACCATTTATCCATCTCATCCAACCATCCATCCATCCATCCATCCATGTCCATACATCTCATCCATCATCCCATCTATCTACCGATCCAATCCATCCCAATACGCATCCATATATCATCCATCCATGCATGCATGCCATTCCATAGAGTGCTACTCCATCATGATCTCACCATCTCGTAACCGTCCGTTATCCATGCCATGCATGGCATGCATGCATCCATGTCCATCCATGCCCTTCCTCTCAGACCCCCCCCCCCCCCCCCACTACCTGGTTTACTTGTGTTCATCAGCATGCTATTGCGCATCGCTCTGTTTTTCCGGTGTTATCCTTGAGATTATTTCGCAACTCATTGTATTTATCGTTCATATTCTTATTTGCACATCGACGTATCGCGCGCGAACAGTGTGTGTGTTCGGCTCGGAGCGGCAAGGCTAGTCGTGGTTATGCAGCGTTAGATCCGCAAGTAAGGATTTCGTAGTATTCTACTACTGCTAAAGGAAAGAGCATAATGGGCCATTGGCGGCAGGAAAAGAAAATCGTCCGTAACTTCGATTCGTGTTTTATTTAGTGAGGACAAAGGCGTTAGGTCGCGGTTATAAGGCGCTTGAATTCGAAATTCGCACACGCGAAAACCGAGTCATTGCCGAGCTGCGCTGTGCTCCCCCTTCCGGATAGAAGGTAGTAGGTGTCAGTCACCTTGAATGCATACCTAGCGAAGAGCGAAAAGCTGGCGAATAGAGGGTGTTTGTCTTGCGCATCTAGAATATTCTAAGAAGGCAGACCGATAGGAGCGAGGGAATCAAATGGTGTCAGTAAAAGCTTGGGGCGCGAGATATATTATAGGCTGGTGACGATCTATGCCGGTCGACCTATACAGCCGGCTTCACTATTAAGTAAGACGGACGGGTGAGCGGGCGCGTGGGGTGGCGGGTGATCCGCGAAGAGCGGCTGTGCGTTGCACAGGTTCGCGTGTCCGCGGTGGGTGCGTGGTCGTCGGGTGCGGGGTGTCGCGTGATCCGTGGGTGCGTGGGGCTGTGGTGCGCCGTCGTCCGTGGTCGGTGGTGCGTGGGTGCAGTCGGGTGCTTGGTGCGCGTGTGTCCGTGGTGCGTGGTGTCGTGGTGCGTGGTGCATGGGTGCGTGATGCCTTGGGTCTGTGTATAGGTGTGGCGAGGAGTGATGAGATGTGGGTAAAGTATATATTCAGTACGATCTATCCAAAAAATAATCCAATACTACATAATCCGAAATATCCACAACTATACTAACGCGGCTCCACCAATATTATATACCTATTATATAAGGGAGATTATGGGAACAAGCAGTTAGTGCTCAAGAATCACGTAAATCTCACGCATCGTTTCCGGCCATGGTTGACATTTAGTTATTTTATCTTTTATAATACTGTTATATGAATATAATAAATAGTAAAATAAACTATAAATATAAGGCAGATACCAAGTCAAACACTAAGTACTAGGGTCCCTATATCAGAGAGTTGCGCCAACTCAGGATGTGACTGCCATGTTTGTTTGGTCAAATGGATCCCGAGCACGGCGGCCGCTTAAGTAGCAGCGCTGTATGGATACGCGGTACAGATGGTCGTAGTAAGTTAATTAGACTAATACGTGCTTCAATAGAACTCAAATTTACAGAGATTAGGCTGCTGTGTATCTAGATTTCTAGAAATGGTAACTCAATATCGTTCCGCGAGAGCGATAAATGATAGTTAATTGTAACACTTCTTACCGCCCAAGCCGTGCGTGATATTAACTGTGCGAAAGCCGCGCGTAGATACTTGCTAATTAAATTAGAACGACATCGCGCTTCACACTAAACTCAAGAATCACAGAGATCATAGATGAACACATTGTGTTTATATGTATCTAGATTCAGTAAAGTAACTCAAATCGTTCGGCGGCCATGATGATAGTGCTTAATTGTATTTACTTTTCTTAGTGTACAACACAGACGTAGTCATTTTGGAAGAAGTATGAGCAACTGCTAATTCACTAAGATAAATGCGTTCCACTTCACCCACTACGCAGCTCGCAGCTGTAAATGTGTTTTGTGCAAGTTCTAGAAATCTAGATACACATAGACACATGTCTTAGCTAATAATCTCTGTAAATTTTGAGTTTATTGAAGCACGAGTTAGTCTAATTAAATTAACTACGGACGCATTGTACAGCGTATCCGATACAGGCCTAGCTGTACTTAAGGCGGCAGCGGTGTGACAATTTGGAAAGCAACATGCCGTCCAGCGATCACGTGACCGAAAGATTTTTTTCCAGACTGTATGGCGCACTCTCTGTATACAGGGACCCTACTAAGTACCAAACAAAAGTAATAAGTATACCAAATTCGGCAGCTCACCAACTCGCGCGCACGGCCACTCAGCGCTATTTACTGCATGCTGCTTTCCAGTATAATACAGTTTGGTTCCCGTGATAATAATCTATCCCCTATCCCTCGTTCTAGTATCCTGTATACCGACGATACTACCGTAGCCCGTCGTTGATGCATGCTTGTGTTATAGGCCTATATAATATATATAAATAATATAATCTATATAATATAGGCAATCGAAAACCCATGTTGAGTATTCGGGATGCCGTGGAAACGGGCGTACTTATTCGCCAATAAATAATTCAAAGCTACTTAATTTACGTTTGCCCACGAAACACACAGTCCCCTCTCATTCACCGTAGCCCTGCACCCCCACACGCAGTCCTCCCATTCACGTACCGTGGCACGCCCGCCCCAACGATTGCTCCATTCACGTACCCTGCACCCCACACGCAGTCCTCCATTCACGTACCCTGCACCCCCACACACAGTCCTCCATTCACGTACCCTGCACCCCCACACGCGCGTTGTTATAATAATAGTTAGCTATTATACTATTTAAACTGCCCGTGTTTAGATGTTAGGACGTTATGGGCAATCAGACACATGTAACGCAACATGTAGGAAATCGTATTTCCAGAGAACTCGTCGCACTTTGTTACTAGCTGGCTATAGGGACCACCAGTTAACAGACGTTGTACGTCAGATGCACGTTTCCCTTAGCTAGCTCGCACTTTACCCGAGCCACGTGGTTGTCTGGCTTCTGACAGCCTAGCGTGACATTCGTCGCAGCACCTTTTAATACTGCAAAATAATAAAACCAAACAGCGTGCAACCCTAAACACGTAGTTAATACGTACCGTATCCCGCATCCCGTATCCAATATCCCGATTACGTGTGACGAATATCTGATACACGGTATATATAATATATAACGGCCGACTTTCACTAAGAAATAACATCAACAAACGTGAAATGTCCGAAATGGGCTATCGTAATTCCTGCGTTCTGATTGGTTGATTTATTGCAGCACTCTAATTAGCTGATATCAATGCATTACAAAATCTTCAAAGGCCCGCGTCGTTTCAAAAGCTATAGTCGGCCCCCTGAGAACACGCATGCTTAACTTGGAGCCAATCGATTGAAAAGCGTGGAAGGAGCGCACAAAGTAACCCGTGTTAAATTTGACAATATAGTACGACAAGCAGAAATTACTACGTGTAACGCACGAAAACACTTAAAACCGGCGCATATCCACCGCGTCAATCGTCTCTCGCCAACTTATCTCGGCATCTATTACATCTATCGAGCTCTCAAAGATACCATGCACGATACACTCTAGCGCGCAGGCATTCGGCGCAAGTTGTAATTGACTTGTAGCGCCTAACTATTATAGGCATTCGCTTTCGTAAACAGCTTCCTCAAACGTCGAAGAACTGTAACCGTAAATAACACTCCGGGGGAGCGGATGTGCTCACCGGCTTAGATCTCGAACAAATTTCCGGAGAGAGGTATTGATTTGAACGTCGTGTCACCGTCGCGCCCATAACGCGAGTCCCCCCCCCCCAGCGCCGCCGCCACCGCCGCCGCCACCACCACCGCCGCCGCCGCCGCCGACTCTCCCCGCGTTCCACGCTTAAGTGCTCCAGAGTTTTTACTCGGGAGAGCGACGCCGACGTAAAATCCATGCAGTCGTCGATTAAAATATGAATTCAGGCAGGCAAGGCATATGTGCGGCACGAGTGAGAGCTAGAGATAGCAGACAAGCGGCTGTGTAGGACGCTCTATGTATGTATATATATATATATATGCGCACCTGTGGATGATTGTACACGAACACTCACAATCTTGGTGTAAATAGACGTGAAGTGTAGCCGTAAGATTGCTCTCATATGATAAAAAAACGATGAACGTACGTATTGCGAGACTCACGCTGGTCTTTTCTCCATCCGGCTTGCGCCGTCTGCTGTGTTTTCGGTAACGTGTAGTGACGTCACGTTGTCGGAGGTACACTTCGAAATGCTTGTTGGTAAACGTGTGCGCGGATGCGAGTGTGTCAATGTACGAGGCATAGACTAGTCAATCGCAGCTTTTGTTACGCCCGTTCCGAAACGCGCGTCATCAATGTTTATAAGTATACACCAGAGCGGCGGCGGTATAATGGTTCGATATTCCGCATTCACATAGTTAACTATGCATTCAGAGAAAACTCTCATTATTCTTGGGGAAAAAACTGCAGCATGTTTATTGCATTCAGAATTGATGTGTAGTTGACAAGCAAGATTGCATAAAAGCAACATGCGCGAAAACTATACAACCGTGTACGCGATTACTGAGTGCATGTCGTAATGTGTTGCCGTGTGGAAAAAAAGTCCACACGCGGCAGCTGCTGTAACTGAACGACGGCTAAGAATGGCAAGAATGAGTAATCAATAAAATTCCTCGTTTGAGTGATGTTTCTTCCGAAACGAACATAATTTGAAAGGAAGCCCAAGCAACAACAAAGCCGTTTAATTGTCACAGGTATTTATTGTTGTCATTTGTTGTATGGATTCTAAAGAACACCTGGGTGCACCCATTGGTAATTTAGTAAATATTCCAGTTCCAGATTTCGACACAATTTTAGCTTCGTGATAAATAGTATTTAAATAAAATAGATATAACACGATATAATATCATATACAGTACTGACTTACTTTGTTATTTCTATTATACTATAATAATCATTCATAAGTATTTTTTGTTCGATACGGGCATATCGTTTCTAAATATTTATATTAATGCATTCCAATAAATTTTCTTAACTTGCTTGACAAGATAGAATTATAATATATAACACTCTCTACACGATTTTAGGCAACATGGCCAAAATCACGCACGATTATCAATAGACTTTGACTAATAAACGCCCAATGCCAGAATGATTGTAGGTTTCAGAGAACATTTTGCGTGATTCAGTAACAGACCGTACATTTATAACTAAGTACTAAAAACAAAGCTATACTATCGAGGCAACTGAATTAATTTCTAATGCAACGTGCTACTAAATGGCGGGGAATCTAATGATCTAAACAACTTATCAAGATTCCGTCGTTTGTTTGTTGCAAACAGAGCAAAGCATCTTTATAGAAACTAGTTTCTAGGGATTCAAACGCATTTGATCGGAATAAGGGTTAATCAAACGATCGCGACAAAATCTCCCTTCCACGTACGCTCACTCGTCGTTTTTAAGAAATCTAAAAGAGATCGGGTATACATACTCACATTCCAGCAATTGCATCCTATAATGGTCCTATCGTTGTGAGAATCGTGAACACTTTCGATCGGTAACCGCCCATTGAGAGGAGGATTTTTTTTTCAAACCTGCTTAGATATGCGTAGATTATTCACTAGTATTAAAACAAATTATGCTTTGCATGGCTCATCTCTATCTATCCCGATTCGGTGAAGTAAGTGGGGGGGCTCTTCACTGCGCAGCTTTTCTCTCTCTCTCTCTCTCTCTCTCCCTCTCTCCTTCTCTCTCTCTCTTTCTATCGCTCTCGCAATATCCTTCTCTCTCGTTCTCCTTTTCGGCGTTAGTATCGATAAAATACCCCACGAGTTAAAATACTGTTACAAAATATCGCGCCGCCCACAAAACGTGCTCCCCCCTCGTGCTGTCGAACAAATCCGGATCTCCCGATCTGAACCCCGGATTCGAACATCTAGGTTCTATTGAGGAAACCGGTCTCGACCAGCTTGTCAAGGAAGAACTTGACGTCGCCGATGGCCGACTCCTTGATGTTCATCGAGCGGAGAAGCTCGAGGTTGCCTTCTTCGACGGCGGCGAGCACATTGCGCATGTGTTCGACGTCGGTCGTCAGCAGATTGAGAACGTCGCCAAAGTCCTCGACCGTCTTGCTTTCTGCAAATAGAGCGACGAACGGGCGTTTGTTTAGCGCTCCGGGAGACTGCGGTCAAACCTCGTGTATAACGGTTATTCGACGACGGAAATGCGATCATTACGAACGCAAGTGACCGTTCTGTGGAGGTAGGCATCGCTGTGTTGTGGCGCCGCTCAGGTGTAACGACAAAAGTGGCCGTTACGGACAGGTGGATATTCTGTCCAAACGGGTTTAACTGCGTAACTGCCTTTAAAAGGAAAATGCCAAAAGTGGTTAGCGCAGACAGCGACCGTTCTTTAGAGGTGGCCGCTAACAATGGTTTGGACCGACGAGATCGACCCTCGTTCGTTCGCTGCTTGTTTTCGTACTTTCTGCCCGCGTTTGCTTATTCGCTAAAGCCAATGCAGCGGGTTATAGTATTTGTATATGTTTTTATAATAAATTTATAATAAAATAATAGAAATAAAATATAAATAAATATAATAAATAATAAATTTGTGTTAAATAAAAACTAAATAAAAAATGTTTATAGTATCGTTCCGGCTCGCCCCCCCCCCCCCCCACCCCGCATCGTTTGAGACGACACAAATGCGTTACTTTGTCTCTCACGTGCAACATACGCATGCGCGCATGCTCGCACTCCCGCGATAAACGCAGCCCCGAGCTGCCTCATCAGCGATGGAGGAAACGTGGAAGGAGGTGCAATTTTACAATTAAATTTCATGCACCCGCGCTTCGCGACCCTGCGCTTAATTGCAGGCGCTGTAATATTTGGTCGCGTCAACGAACGTTCTAACGCCGCGTCATCAGCTTCAGCCCCGAGGAAAGCTGTCCGAGAGGGAGAGAGAGGGGGAAAGGGAGAGCTATATTGACAGATAGAGAGAGAGAGAGAGAGAACAAAAAACAGACAGATAGATAGAGATATAGATAGATACATAGATAGATAAATGGATAGATAGATAGAGAGAGAATATTAGATAGATAGACAGATAGATAAAGATAGATGAATAGATAGATAGATAGATAGATAGATAGATAGATAGGACAGATAGATTAGATAGATAGATAGATAGATAGGTAGATAGATAGATAGATAGATAGATAGATAGATAGATAGATAGATAGATAGATAGATAGATAGATAGATAGATAGATAGATAGATAGATAGTAAAGAGAGATAGATATTAGAGAAAGAGAGAGAGAGAGAGAGAGAGAGAGAAGAAGAGAGAGAGAGAGAGAGAGAGAGAGAGAGAGAGAGAGAGAGAGAGTGAGAGAGACGAGAGAGAGAGAGAGGAGGCAGAAAGATATTACGGGGCTATTAATGCGGGTGGACCGACGCCTAGCGCGCGGCAACGTGTCGCTAAGTATCAGTATGAACGCCCCTCGAAGCAGGCCCCGGTAATAATGTCACTAGCTAACGATTTCGCCACATCCGGGCATTTCCTTACATTGCCTTGACGACGGACGTTATACTGCGCGCATTAGGGCAAACGCTGTATGCAGCGCCCTCTATACCAGCGAAATAGACCAAAGAAAGTCCGACTGAAGCCTGCTATCGATTTCGTTTTTCTGTTATGATCCATTTCAGGGCTTTCTATCAAAACAATGGGGCGAGTTTACCACAGCTGAGAGAAAAAATGAAACGGTAACCATGAGAGAGAAGGTGTTCATTTTCGCCGCGTCACGACGCAATGACGCGAGCAGGCATCGCGGTGCCATGGAGAAGTCGCTTTTCGCGGGTTGATAACAGCAACTACTCTGGCCGTGATATATGAGTGACAACAAAAACGCATAACGCTTGCCTAGGCGATCACTGGAAAATATAAGACGCGTCAAAAACTAGCGTGAGTGCAGCCAACACAGACCAGCCCAATAACGCGCTTAACGTTAAGCAAAACAGCTCTATTCCAACAACTAATTATTGCACATATTGTAAATGAGTTACGGTAAAAAAATTCCCAATTTCGTATAATAACTACTGCCCACGCTAGCGCGATACACTACGCGCGATCAAACCTCGCCACCCTTCCCAAGGAGCGTAGCGAGAATATATAGACATACTGCTTCTAGAGAAACAACAATAATGAACCATCCCACGTTTGTCAATTAGAACGAGAAATGGAGAAGCTCAACCGTACAGGAGGAGTAAGACCAATCCCTCGGTGACCCTACATAGATACGGAAACAGGAGCGCGCAGTGTTTGATGCATGCTCAGTGTCTACATTGCAGTGACGATTCGAGACTGAGAGGCCGCCGCACATGTGTGATCATATCACGTTATCGTTGGTCACCGTGTTGAGCAGGTACTGATTGATTTTCCACGGCGCAGGTGTGTTTATTTGCATTGTGTATGCTAAAGTGGCTGCGGTGCGCGCTCGGGCGCGTCCGCTAGCTTCTCCTGTTTTCCCCCCGCACATCGATCTGGGTCTTCATGTGTAAGCCGCCTAATATCTAATTCAATACCGTCGCTGATTATTAAGTGCGTTCTCGCATAGCCGCTGACTCAATGGCCGACGCCTGCCACGGTTGTCGCTGGCGCTCTACCGCTACAGGGAGAGATGACATATAGGAATAGTGACCCAGAGTGCGGTAAGCTCGAAACGTAAAGGAATAATTTAGAAAGCGCGTCCGACTTCGCGAACGCCACGTCAGTAGAGGTTAGCGACGAAAAACGGCAAAAAAGTCGGCGCGAGATTCGTGCGCGGGTGAATTACCAGCGATAACCAGGGGCGGCGCCACAGGGGGGGCAGGGGGGGCGGTCGCCCCCTATCATTTGCGCAAGAAAAAGGAAGAAGAAAGAAGAAAAAGAAAAAGAAAAGAAAAAAAGAAAAAAAAGAAAAAGAAAAAGAAAAGGAAAAGAAAGAAGAAAAAGAAAAAGAAAATCTTGCAATGTCTTTCAAATAATGGGTGGGGTGGGGGTCACCCCCCCCCCATCATTTGCAAGAAAGGGTAAAGAAGAGAAGATTCTTGCAAATAATAGGGGGATCGCCCAAAAATGAGTGATGTAGCCTACAAGCTGGACCACTTTCATCGAAAAATCGAAAATTAAGTGTCGAAATTCAATCCATATAAAACCTGTGCTTAATTTGATAATCGATGTCAAGGTGTTATTTCCTTGGGAGTCAACGTTCAAGAACTGACCTCTAATAATACTCTACATGCTATCTTATTTTTACCTCCGCCCACGGAGTGGAGGGAGGTTATGTGATCGGCGTCGGTTTTCGTTCGTGTACACGTTAGCGTGCGTGCGTGCGTGCGTGCGTGCGTGTGTGTGTGACGCGATTGATATTAGCGCGTCAGCGAGCGAGCCAGCCACAGCCGGCTGCTGCTGACTGAGCGGCGAGCGAGCATACATGTATGCTGGGCGTATATCGTGGGTTATTTTCGTGTGTTCGTGAGTCGTATGGCGTATGGCGTATGTCGCTGGCGGAGGTATGCTTTCTCCGTGAGTGCCCTCTGTCTAGTTTTAGTTAGTGTGTGTATGCGTGCGTGTGTGTGTGTGCGTGTGCGTGTGCGTGCGTTCATCTCTCCGGGTCATGTTTTTCTCGACTCTACATAATACAAGAATTATTGGGTTCAAGTGCTACAGCATAGATTTTAAAGCAAATCATTGTTCCGGAGACCCCCTCTTTTAAACGTGTCCAGTTTCATAGCATTGAATTTCAACGAAATCCTAGCTAGTTCCGGAGACCCCCATTTTCGAACATAGCCGGTTCCAGAGCATACCAAATTCAACAAACATAGTTCCAGAGACCACCATTTTCAGGTCTGAGTTAGTTCCAGAGCCCCCCCCTCATTTTTAACTTTGCAGTGGCACATACCAGATACCTACCATAATGTGGGGTGAGTCCTCCCCGGGGTTTCATCTCCTTGGTATATGTTGCTCCTTGGTTCCCTGCACAATTTTTTTGTCAGCAATTTAAGGGTTTTGATTAGTTAAACTGTGAGAGCTTCCCCGGACCCCTGCCAGGGGCTCTGCCCCTGGACCCCACCAGGGGCACTAAGGCGGGCCCCTGGGGCCGGATTCATCAACGTTGCGCAAAGTGTATTGCGTACACAGAGTTTCTACGAAGTACGTACGCCAAGTTCGTAGGTGCGATTCATCAACGCAGCGTAGCACCTGCTTACGCGAATGTTGATGAATTCCAGTGTAAATCCACTACGCCATCGTAGCTGCTGGCTGTTGAGGGGCGTGCCTAGCATAAACCAATCACACTGTGCGACACATACCATAGGAACCTAACTGACGCCTCTCTTGTATGTAAACCATATGGCTCTAGCTGTCTACAGGAGTGCTGGGGGATGTAATAGTTGTCCTCATTTTCGTTTGTATGATTGTGTGTTCAACACTCGATGAAAGCAGCGACACGTACGCGTGCGTGCGTGCGTGCGTGTGCACGTACACGTGCGTGCGTGCGTGTGTGTGCACGTACACGTGCGTGCGTGTGCACGTACACGTGCGTGCGTGCGTGCGTGCGTGCGTGTGTACGTACACGTGCGTGCTTGTGTGCACGTACAAGTGCGTGCGTGTGCACGTACAAGTGCGCACGGCGTGTGCACGTACATGGCTAACTACGAACTCGCTATAACGAAAACAATGCCAAGCTATGACAAAAAAAGCGTCAAAGCGCCGCCTGTCTGTGTAGTATGGTAATTATTTATTTATTTTTAGTTGGTAGTAAACTTTGTAATGTTTTCTCAATAAAATAATGCATGCTGCCGTATGCTGGAAACACCTGCGGAAATTTCGAGTGGTTTACGGCACTCCGTCAGCTCGGGTAAAGTTACGCAAAGGTTTACGTAAATTTTAGCTTGATGAATCGCACCTAAAACGGCCTCGCTTGCGTACGCGAAATCATACGAAAAATTTACTAAATAGCTGTGTTGATGAATCGCAGCTAACGTCGATTGCGTACACAAGATTTACGCAAAATATTTTGCGTACGCAGCTTGATGAATCATGAATCTACCCCCTGGACTCCACCCGTCAGTGCAAGCGCACACGGTATCAGTCTACAGTTCCCAGGGGCGTGTACAGGGGGGAGGGTCCAGGGGGTCAGGACCCCCCCTGCTCGCGCAGAAAACGCATCTGAGGGGGTCTAATTTCAAAAATTTCCTGGGGGAGAGCCCTCCAGACCCCCCCTTCGCGTGCTCCTGTACACGACCCTGGTTTCGCCCCCCCTAAGAAAATACCCTGGCGCCGCCCCTGGCGATAACGTAAAAGAAAATCTAATTGTTGACTTCCGCTGTGTGTATGTACGAGCGTTGACATATTTTGGTTAATCTACGAGAGAATCATGCATTTTTTAAATGGAGTTTCGCGCGAAAGCTTAGGGGTAAATAATATTAAAATAATAAAATAATATAAAAAAAAATCGGCGTATAAAACTGTACGCCTAAAGTGCGCCAACATTAATGGAAATTCAATGTAGAATAAATGGAATATTCGCGTGATAAAACGTTACTTAATTGGCAAACAACAGGCGAGGCGATATCAAAAATGTTAAAGATTGCGGTACGACGAATGCATCCGTAAATTCACAAAGCCTAACGACACGCATGGACAGACGGACAGACGACGCAAAAACAGACGAAATTCAAAAATATTATGTAGAATTGTGTAAATTCAAATTCGCCCAAATCACATTGTAAATCTCAGCAACGCACAGAACATTTTGAATGCATTCACGGACGTGCGTGAACGTGTGCGTGCCTAGTGCCTACTCAGTCCTCTAATACGTAAAAACGTAAAACGTAAAACGTGAAAAATCATCAACTCGATCACTGTAATATAAGCAGGTGAAAACCAACTCTGTGATACAATTTGTGCTTCTAACCAAAAGTAAAAACATGCGAATGTCTGCAAAAATTCTCCCTATACGTGCGTGAGAGCGTGTCTGCGCAAAACCCTTTACTATTCTTACACGTAATTGCGGAGCATATATATACCAACCTGACAATGCGATGGCGACCTTTTCGATCCCACCTCTCGGTGCTAGGGCCTGAACTGCCTTGTCTCCAAACAGCTTCGCCAAGAAGTCGCTGCCATTTTGCTCAATCAGGTGTCGAAGGAAAGCAACTATCTCATCAACCGGAGGCCTTACCGCTGCAAAGACACGAATAAAACGCGGTTATAGCCATCAGATTACAGGAAATCGTCTCCTTTACGAGGCGTTCTCTCGCATTACCGATTTTCGAAACAACTAACACGGTACGCATACACGCGCACACGCATACGCACACGCACGCACACGCACGCACGCACACGCACAGACTAAAGAAGGTATACATAAATTATACGTAGTATATACACGAACAAAAAATAAAAAACAACACTTCATTTACGAGAGGAAATTTCTTTCGTAACAGCGACTTTCAGGAAACAACTGGCATGGTAGAGATAAAACCAGACACACACACACATAAGTAAAACCTGTTACACGGCAATATAATAAAATTACAAACAAAAATTCCTCCATGCATATCAAGTGCTCTCTTGTTTTACCCACTACGTTCGAATTGGATCGCGAGCACGCGCGACTGCGCACGCGCACTCGGCGTGCGTCGATGATTGCGTGCGCTAATTCGTCGCGCTGCTTGTTTGCGCGATTACAGACCCGACGACAAGCACGACCATCGCAAGCCTGCGGGCGAAACATAAATTATGCATAAACGCATTTTCGCTTCGACGCGGTACATGCGTCGAGTAGTCAGCTGACGCTGTCTCGGTCGACTATAAGACGAAGGAGGCGCAGCAGAGAGACAGGAGGGGGGCTCTCAAAAACGCATAACGCGACCATAATTCTGGGGCCTGCACTGGCCAAATGTCAACGACCGACATGCGTCTGCAAGCATTACGTGTCGCGCGGTAGCCTGTTGAGATATAGCAAACCAAAACTATCGCAAATCCGTATATTTTTTCTCGCTCTCTCTTCCCCCTTTCTCTCCATCGCGCTCTCTCTCCCTTTCTCTCTCTCTCTCGCTCGCTCCTTCGCTCTCGCTCTCCCCTCTTTCCCCTTTCTCTCTTCCCCCTCTCTCTTTCTCTCTCTTTCTCGCTCTCTGAATCAGGGGAATACATGGATATAATACGCGAGCGTTCAACGGGGCGGATGTTTTAATGTGATTAAACCTCTCATATTTTCGGTCTAGACGCGAATCATCTAGATTTTTATCGGGTTTTCGCATATACGAGATTAAAATTGTTTTAATCCTTATAATTTGACGCCAACGCGTCCACGTCCCTATTCTTATTTTAACCGATATTTCTGCTATTTATCCTTCTCTTTCCCATATAAAATAAAATATATACTATCACCTTATCCTCTACTAACTATACCTTCTCCCCCGTCTCTCTCTCTCTCTCTCTCTCTCTCTCTCTCTCTCTC